TTGAAACTCAAGCAAAATCGGGAAATCCTGGGCCGGGGAGGTTTTTTTTATTACCACCCATTTTATTAAATAGAATCTTACATTAAACCGTGACCCCAAACCCGAAACACTGAGGCCCCAAACCGTTAGCCCAAACCGTCAACCCATCGCCCCGAATCACCAACGTTGAGGTCGCCAGATGCTCCAAGGACGCACGAGTACCAAACCCTAAACGGCTTCATCCTAGATTCTGGCCCGGCCGGGGGCAAAAGTCGTCGATATCTTTTCCACAGCTGAACTTTTTCAATTTGCAACCGTCAGGAAGGCACTTTCCTCAAAATAGCTTGGTTTCTGCTTCTGTTGTTGTTATCTATGCTGCTCAGCAGCCGTTGTTTGGACTCCGAGAGTATTCAGATGGATCAGGCGGGAACAGTACGTAGCAACAGTAGCGACGACTATGACTGCGACGGTCGTGTTTCATCTGAGCAAGGACTCCGGTGCTGTGGACGTCGGTCCTACAACTTGAAAACCCCCGACCGGAAAGAGCCTTCGTCAAAACCCTCATCTTGAAAGAAAGGTCCTGAGACAGGGTGCAGACGTGATGATTGAGGCTGAGAGGCCCATGATCACCTAAATTATATCCTGTCGGTCTCCCTGAGATGGGAAGCAGGCTTTCTGTTTAAGTGTTTAGATTTCATGAATGTCGTCGTTGTTCAGAGCCTGTGGCAGTCATAACATCGCAGCGATAAAGAACAATCTGGCAGCCCCAGATGTCTCCCGTGGTGATGTCGGAATGAGACATGCGAACAATTGAGTAAGCTTAGGAGCAGACCGGCAACGTTCCGGGCCTGCGCTTCAGGTCTAGGCCTTGAGGTTTATCGAAAAAGGTTATTCTTCACATGGCGTTTACTCCAGCTTTGGGGCTAGTGGAGGCTGGCTAGGTTTCGTGCTTCGGGCGTAGAGTTCAGGGACGCAGGCCCTAAGTTTCAGGCAGGAGAGGCATCGATGGGCGTGGCCGCTTGTGCAGGGCCCATACATGTTGGGTTGATTAGGATTTGGGTGAGGCAATATTGGTGAGCATTACACCTTGTCTAGAAGCCAAAAGCACCCTCAATGATCCCGACTCTTCGGCCCCCCCCCAAGGAGCATAGGCCAGAAGAAAGCACCGGAGTCTCCGGTGGCCGGCGATTGTGACCAAGCTGCGTTAGCTTCAGGGTCCGGCATTATGTGGGTGCATTACATTGTACTAGGATTTAGTGTTTATAAGCTTTGTTCGATTCGAAGTTTTGACTTCGGGCAGTGACTCTGGAGTTTTTTTTTGTGTGTGAGTGTGTGTGTGTGTGGCTTTTGCCTTAGAACTCATTACATCCAAGTGTTGTAGTCGTAGGACTTTATTGGGCTTGTTCCGCATGCGTGTGTGTACTGCTGATGACGCTGTTGATGTCAGCTCTGACAACATAGGTACCTCGAAACAGCCGTAGCGTAACACACGCAAATCTCCGTCGACCCAACGGCTTAGTCCATGATTAGCCTTGCCCACCGGGGTGAAGCTTACAACTCGCCAAGGCAACGTGCTGGTGTTTCCGGACCTGGACGCAGGTAAGACGAGTGCTTGCTTAGAACGTCCATGCGCTGCAGCGGGTCACCAGGGCCCTTCCCACTCACAGCGTAGACTTTGGATTGTTTCGTTGAAGATTTGAACCAGCTATACCTATGCTAGATCAAAGGCAGAAGCCCTGAGGAGATCTGATATGGTCGTGTTAGGATTGCAAAGACCCGAATATAGTACAGACCGGAAACAGTATTATTGGGTACCTCCAACATAAACACGAAACACCCCATATCAAGGGTCGGATCTTGCGGCACAGAGCGGGTTTGTCGGGTATCAGGCTTCGGAGACTCTTGCCGAGAAGGTCCCGGCTCTCGAATGTGGAATCCCAAAGCTTAAATCCTAGAGCCCTAATCCCCCAAAACCTCGAATCCTCAGCTCCAGATTCCAAATCCGCAGGGTTGAGGTTTCGGGGCTGCGGCATATAATGCATCATTTGGAGCCCGAACACCGAAAGCGTTTTTCGTGGGGGAATGAAACCACAAGCAATTGCGCAACAGTGTCCAGTGATGTAGTTGTAAGAGGGTGAAGCACACATGTGGCCGATGATGGTGGTGATGGTGATGGCTGTAAGTCGTGTCAATGTTCGAACAGAAACCCTGGCACACACAGATTCGGAAACGCACAGGCCTGTAAGACTGTGTCACATGCTGCAGGACTTTAGTATAAGGCATTCATCGTCCTTTGCGCCCGGCACTAAAGCACTCCGAGAGTGTAGGCGCCCTATACTAGAGGAGTGGCAGCATGTTCTACCTACGATGCCTCAGTCAACCGTTGAAACTCCATACGACACTACAGTATGCAGGCAACATCGCCTACAAGCTTGTGGAGCGTTTGGGAGGGGCGCAGGCCGTTGGACCCCTTGTGTCGCTCGGCCAGCGAGTGGGTCCACCGATTGGACTCGGAAGTCTCCCGGAGCTTGATGGTGGAGTGTGTTTCGCATTAGGAGGCCTGCCTGGTTTGTCATGAGGTTTGATAGCAATGTCAGAAGTCAGCGGGGTGTCGAGCGGCTGTGAGTTGGTGATCCTACATATAGGCTTGATAATGGATTGGCAGAGCGAGGCTGAGGTGCTTTCGGGCCTTGGGCGCTCATGGCTCTCCTGGGATGTGCAGGGTGGTGTACTGCAGATATGTGCACACACACAATAGGGAATGGGCGCGTGCGCGCAGAGACACACACACAGAGACAAAGACCACAACCACACCGATCCAACCGAACCAGCCAAACCAACCAATGCAAGCAAGCAAGCAACCAGGACCAAGCCACCAAGGCACGCAAGCAGGCAGGCAGGAAGGCCAGCAATCAAGCAAGGAAGCAATCTAGCAAACCCAAGCAAGAAGGAAGCAGGGAACCAACCGAGCAACCAAGCAAGCACCAACCAGCCAACCACCCCCCCACCCTCCCCCGCTAACCAACCCGCCAACCAAGAGGGCAACCAACCAGCCAGCCCAACCGAGCGAGCAAGCAAACAAGCAACCGAGCAGCCGGCCAACCCGCCAGCCAACCATCCTCCAAACCCACACGCGCACGCACACTGCACACATGCTTGCAGTATCTTACATCCATCATTCACGTATGACCACATATGCACATGTTTGTTGATCTTGGCACGTGTCTGCGCCTACTCGTCTGTATATGCACATCTGTGTGTGTGTGTATGCATACGTTGTATGCAAAGACTTGTATACACAAATATGCCGACTTACAGAACAACACAGAGAGACGGGTGTAATTCTACTTCGGGTGCAGACTTGGCCCTGTCATAGGTGCATAGTGGGTTGTGGTGGTTGTGTTGTTGTGGCGGCTGCGGCTGCTGCTGCTGCTGGTGCTTGTGCTGATTCTTGGCTTGCTTGCGAACCTGCTTGCTTGCGGGAAGCTTAAGCACATCAGGACCTCAGGTTTTTGCAATGTCGAGCTTGCCGGCCACCTGAATGCGCGATCCTGAAAACCTCAACCCTGCAACCCTGAACCTTCGATGCCCTCAAAAGTCTCGGCTCGACGCCCTCAAAAGCCCGAAGCCTTCAAAGGCAGGGCCTTCGAGCCCCGTACATGGATCTCTCGCGAGGCTGCTCCGTGGAGGACCCGAAACAGCCAAAACTAAGTTGCTCTAGCCGATTCGGAGCGTGGTGGTTCTGGGCTTCTGGGCTTTGGAGTGCTCCCATGTTTCAGGTTTTGCAGGGCTGCCGCCCTCGGCTCCTTAAAGTCTTGCACGGGTCTTGCACGATTGTTGACACGTTGGAGCAAATCCTCGCTACAGGACATCATCAATGTGGCATGCGCAGCAGCACTGCTTGCGGAATGAGCAAAAGGAGCAAAGGGAGGTTAGCAGCCAAAGGCTACAGCCGCGAAGGCCGTAATCTTCAGGTGTCTTCATCGTCCCCTTGTTCCCAAGCTTCTGCATGGCACACCCTTGTTACGATACCACGGTGATGCTCAGTTCTGGGCTGAGGATCTTGAGACTTCCGGCGGGAAGTTTCGGCGAGATTTTAGGGGTTGGCTTCGGGATCCCCTCGCTAAGCTCCACCGCACAGGCCCTCAGCAGCCGACGAGAGAAGTCCAAGACGGCACACTGTAAAAAGCGAGCACTCTCCATTCCAGAAAAGTCCGAGTGCCAAGATTGACTATCCATTGGCCTGCTACTTACGAATGCCTTTTGAGAGCTGAGTATATGCCATCCTCTTCGACAGGAGGAGTGAGCCGACAGCCATGGTCGGGAATACATAAGACTGAAAAATCTTGGAGGGCGTCCACGGAGTACGCAGGTAGCAGGAGGCGCTGCATTTCCGTTTTGCACGAGGCTTCCTAAAGTTGCGCACAGGGTCTCAAATTCTCAGGCCGGGCAGGAACCCAAGCCATTCCCAAGCCCCAAACCGGCCGGAAAGAGGAAGCATCTCTGGATCCTCGAATATTCCGAGGTGTAGGGTCTTTGTTACTAGACGGGCAGGTAGGAAGTGCGTGGGCAGTCCACATGTTGTATTGCTGATTGAAGTTTTCAAAAGCATGTGCTTCTCCAAGCCCGAAGTCAGAAGTCCGCTGCAGCGATCGCTTCAACAGCCTTGGCACATATGTATGACCACCCTCATATCTTAAACACGCGCCTCTTCTCTTGCAGCTGCAATGTCAGGAACCAATAATACCAGTGCAGGATAAATCCTGCAAAACGGTTGTGTTGGGAAGGTAAGCCCTGCTCCCAGGCCTTGCCAGCATTTAGGATAAGACGCAAGGTGCTTACGTCTTGATCAAAAGGAAGAGGGTGACAACGGTTGCCGCTTGTCCATATAATGATAGCGATAACAGTCCTAACAGAAGAACTAATCCCAGACCCCTAGCCCTCGAATGCAGACACCGCGACGAACGTGGGCGACAGAAACATAAACATAACATCACCTGCGTCGATTTCGGCACGTCGCCATGCCGAAGCCAGAACTGGACCTCGATGCGACTGGGCTCAGCCAGGTTTGAGGATTACGGTTTAGGGTTCCAGGTGTTGGGTTTAGGATTTTCGGTGGTTGGTGGTTTGGGGTTTAGGGTCCACGGGTTCTGTGGCTCAGCATCGGGCTTTGGGCTTTGACAAGGGGGAGATGATTTTGGTCGCTTGAGTGTTGAGGTTCTCGGGGTAGTCGCTCAGGTCTCAGTTTCGGGCTGAGTGGCACATTCGGGTTTGTGAAGAAAGGATTGCTATCAACCCTGAACCCATTCCAAACCCTTTGCCACTGCATTGTGCGACACGTACACCTATGATCGACCTAAGAGGCCTGGACCCCAACACCCTAGCCCTAAAGCCTTCTACGTCCTAAGGCACTGAAGCCCCAAAACCTCAACGCCTGGATCCTAAAGCCCTCAAGCCCACAACCCCAAAACTCTCAAACCAAAATTGCTAATAACAAAAGAACGGCATCTGTGAAACGTTCGTTCTTTACAACCCATCAAACTGAACCCAACAAAATCCTCTTGCGCCTGCCCCCGCACATCCCTGAACGGTCTGAGGGCCCCGGCGTCACGGTGGCCGCCTCCAGCGGCAGCCCCGTCGCAGGTTCGGCACCCTCTGGGCCATCTTCGCCGCCGCGTGGCCAAGGCCAGTAGTAAATCCGAGTACGGATCATTGAGGGGACTGCTGTAACAAGAAGGCTATATCTAGGCTATATCGGTTCCGGCTTGAGGTCCTGAAGGTGGTTGTATGTGAGGTTTCGGGATCTCCCGAGGGTGTCCGGATTGCACGACTGGAAGGCTGGCGGATATTTGGGATCAATGGTTTCATTGCTTGCAGATGCCGGTTCTCACCTTTCTTCTTTGTTTAGTACGGAGCGGGCGTGACCGTTTGGAGCATTCAGGTTAAACAAGGGTGATTTCTCGGCCGCGCCTGCGTTGAGCGCAGTGTGGGGAATAGCTAAATGCGGCTGAGAACCCTGTACTACCAGCAACACCACTAAGCAATGCCCCTAAAACCAACTCAGAACCCGGAAACACGTAAATCCTTGTAGAAGCCCTGCCCTTCAGCGCTTGTTGCAGTCTATTCCCCGTCGGACGACCTCGGCTGTGGAGCTATGGCTGGAGCCGACAGCCTAGATCGAGGGGCAAATTTTCTTGGAGGGACACGAGTTGGCTGGGCATCTGTAACTGAGGCCCGCGAACAGGCCCGAGACCCTCAACTCTTGGAGACCCCATTCGCGGGCCTGCAACCAAGTGTTTACGGCTTGGGATGCAACCCGAAGCCCTGAACGCCTGAACCCCTGGCTTGAAGCCCTAAGCCTTCAGTTTGGGTCTGCTGCATCAGGTCTGTTTCGAGCAGATCGATGAAAAGGACACCGGTGACTTCAAGTATGCCGTGGGCTCGGAGGGCTTGGTCTTGGGGAGGGTTGAGGTTATTTGAGTTCGGTGCGCTTTTCGTTCTCTATCTACCAGGGCATGGAGGATGCGTGAAATCTTCTTTGCAGAGTGCTCCCTCCGCTGCCGTGAACTCGAATCCGTTCACTGTTAGCACGGGCATTATATAGGCCAGTCAGTACGAACCGCGCCTTTAGCCCGATCCGAGGACATCGGACCCCAAGCCTACATAACCTCTTTTGCTGTCATTGTGCATCTTGTATCCAGAGAGTTGTGAGCTACACCCAAACGGCTCCCTACTCTCAACTCAAACATGAAATCTCAACTCAAAGACTGTCACCCCGAAACCCCAAACCCCAAACCCCAAAAAGGCCGATTTCCGAAACCCCGCACCCTAAGACCCCAAGCCATAAACCCTGTATAGACTTAATGCCGTCTCTCCAATGTGGAAGCGCCATCGAGGTCGGCTCTGGCCGCGGAGACTACGAGCAGGCAGTGCTTCTCACAACAAGGGAGCCAGTTTTGGGGGTTGTAGGGTTTAAGGGTTTTGGGGTTTCGGGTTGAGGAAGCGGAAGAATGGCTTTGCGGCTGAGGGTTTCGGAGGTGCGAAGAGGCAGTGTTGTAAGTCCTTGAGAATGTATGTAGCCTGGCAGTTGCGGAGGTTGCGGGCGTGAGTCTGTCAAGATCGGCGTGAACGGCTTCGGACTTTAGGGTTGTGGCATCAGTTCTTTTCTGGCCTGCGGTTTTGCAGTGGGGCTTTTCTCCGTTTAGCAATATCACCGTGCCAGGTGCTCCCTGGACTCGTTGCCAGTGCAAAGAGTCTGCCGAGAGCCTCCTAAGAAGCACCCGCAGCAATTACCACGGGGGTGTTACATGATCAGTAAAAGATGTGTAGACTGTGCAGACAGTAGAGATCAGAGGAGCACGACTTCCCACCCACAGTCCTGGTGGCAACAGCAGCAGTTGAGACAGTGCTGGCGATTTCACGAGTGCGACTCCTCCTCCTCCTCCTCTCCTCCCACCACGATCATAGCTACCAGAGCAGCGTGATGACCATCACACCTACTGCCGCACATTCCTGCCTCCTTTCAGTGCTATACAACTATTGGAGTAGTACCATGGGTCAGCAAAGACGACACATGGAGAGGGCCCCACTGGTCCTTATCAGCAAATACCAAGCGGTGGTCACCGCGATTAGTCCCATGACAACGATGGCATACGGGCACGTGGCAGCTTGCAAGCATGCATTTGCTCACTGACAGCTGAAATCGTGCCCATGCCCCTACATCCCGAGACATTCATCTCTTCTTGTCACGAGCTCAAGCCTTACGTCTACATACGAGCCCCGAACAGCCATCCGGAAGCGGAAACCTCCGTGATCAGGTCACTGTTCTGCCGGAGGTGGGCTGTGTTTCTAGGGAGTAATAAGGTGTTGTAGTAGAAATCTGCCCCAACGTGACAAAGCGTGATTTGGCGGAGTCTAAAGAAGATCTGAAAAGATGTGAGCGGATTGCATGCGCTGTAGAAGCTATGCCAGACAAGGAAATTTAGTAGACGTTCACCTCAGATGCCAGCATTTCGGGTGTAATAGGGCATCCCATGCTGTTGCAACAGTAAGTCCGCGAGGGTTGACAACAAGCATGAGTCCATCAAGCACCGCTCTATCTCTGAATGCAAGATGTGCTCGGGAGGGTAAATCGCACCAGTGGCGCTAAGCCTGAAACCTCTCCGAAGAGGCCCGGCCAGTCACCTACGAAGTGGAGTCTGTGAGGCGACGCCTCCAAGACTGGCTTCTCTGGCTTTTGGTGTCACGGCCGTTCATTCGGGGATTGGGGTTGATAGGATTTTGGTGTTTAGGGAATGGCTTATAGGACCATACGGGCAACCTTGGGCATCTAGTAGGGTCTGTAGCACAGGACGTTTTTAGCATGGTTCCATTTCGTAGGATGTATCTAAGGGACCGTAGATCATCGTCACCGCCATCTTTAAGTTTACCAGACCCCACTCCAAACTGAGGGTCTGTTGTACGTTTAGGTTTTGCCTGCCTCTTTCGATCAAATTGTTCTTAGTTAAGCATCAGTTGTGATGCTTTTGGCTTTGAGGCTCAAGGTTCGTTTGAGGATTGTTTGAGGTAATACTGGTAAGCTTGGTGAGTCACCTTCCCGCGGGCTATCTCCGCAGCTACCCCTCAGCCCGGATGGCCCCAATCCTGCGAAGCCGCGAAGCCGAACAAAGAACCGCAAGGCCGAGACCTTGCGGAGGCCACCTGCCACGGGGCGCAAGACTCCTCAGCTTATTACTGTTGTTTGCAGCATACTGTTCCCCGTCATCACCTGTATGTTAACTACCCATGTCGTGAGACGTGTTGTTGATCGAATCATCATCTTTATGCTGGTTGTGACCCTTATGCATGTGAATCTGCTTGTGTATATATGGTCAGGTGCTCCGCGGCTCCCCCCCCCTTCCCCCCCATGGTCCATGGTCCAGTATGCCACCCCCCCCCGCCCCGTGGGTGGGGTGTGGGGTCCCTGTTCCCCCTGTGGTGTGGTTGTGGGGTTTTGGGTTTGGGGTTTAGCATCAAGCTTTTGAGTTTGGGGTTTAGTGGTTTAGGGCTAAGGTCAAGAGTTATAAGGCTTAGAGTCGACAAGAGCTTAGGGAGGGTTTGGGGTGTAGGTTGGTTAGGGAGACGGTTTATGCTCTGCTTCAAGCTT